AGTGGAGCAACACTGACTTCTGGATGAGTATAAAATTTAAATTAGGTCACCAACATAGTAATTGTTAACAAAAAAACACCTGACCAATTTCTTCTTTATATAAAATGTTTGTATTTTAAAAGCAAGCTAAGTTGATAATTTGAAGACATTGGTAATTAAATATTTCTCAAATATACACTTAAAATTAGAGCACATGGGTTGAGTTGTAAATATTACTGATGCATAGCAGTTGACTTATTGCTATTTTAAATTTAATCAAATTACCTAAACATTTATAAACATGACATTTAAGACTGATTCTTCTGAATTCAAAAGCTGCTTGAATTTAAGAAGATTGTCCAACAGCATATTCTTTCAAACAGAAAATTTTTCTAGTTCATTTTAAATACAATTTAATTCTGATTTTCTTTGCTTACTGCTTTTCAGCAAGAAATGTGTCACGCAATGCAAGGTGTAATTTAATTTTAGCTGCTGCTCATTCACACATAAAATTGTCAAATGTGATGTCAAAAAAAGAACACATAATTTTTCCAGAAGACTTACTTTCTATTTGGAATACATAATAATGATATTACTATTTGTTGATTTTTACCATGTGCTAGGAACTTTATATATATATTAGCTTGAAACAACCTTGAAAGAAAGGAGTGGTTATTCTAACTTTTCAGGTGACAAATAACCCAAGTTTGGGTAGCCGAACCTAAGAAAGTTTAGTCACTATGTTATATTTCCCATTTAATGACTTCCTTTCAAAAATTTAACTCATATTATTAATTTTGTACCATTACTCAACTCTATGTTTTACATTATTCCATTTTCATGAATTATACTACTCTGTCCATTTTAGATATTAATATTTTTCTTTTGTTTTCCTCAGAATTTTAACGTTTATCCATTAATATACAGAAAAACATGATAAAGCCCATATACAAACTTTTATGGTCACTAAAGTAATATAGACAGCTCCCTAAATAAAGACATTTATGTGGGACATGATAAAAATATGAAACTGGTACTACTGTATATTATTATTTTTTCCCATTCAAAAGCTCTTGGTAGATAATTAATTCCTTTCAACATCCTAGCCATGCAGCAACTATTTGTGTGGCTGAGGGCAAGTTACTTAAACTGTCTATGGCTTAGTTTCCTCATCTGTAAAATGACAATACTGTAGTAATAACCCCTACCTCATAGGTTTATTGGGAGGATTAATTGGGTCAATATATGTAAAGCCATTAGACAGCATTTGACATAAATGTTAGCAGCTACTACTGGTACCACCATTACTACTATGGCACTACTACTAGTTAGAAAGTCTCTAAAGAACTTGCAAGATATAGTGGAAAGATTTTGTATTTTAGAGTAAGTCAGACTCAGGTTAGAATCTTCACTCTACTCCTTCCTAGCTGTGTTAACTTAGGCAAATTATTTATAGCATCTCAGCCTCATTTCTTCATCTGTAAAACTGAGATGGTAGTAACTACCTCCCAGAGATTTTGTGAAAATTGGGAATAATGAATGTAAAGTATTAATACTAAGTAGAGTAAAAGGCACATAATAACACTCAAACAATCATAATGATTAAGCTTGTAGGTCTCTCTAGTGTTTCTTTTTTTGCTTGTAAAATAAAAGTACAGTCTTTTTTCCTGAATAAAGTAGTACGTGCTCATTTAAAACTTCTGATTTATATATTTTTCATTTTAATTAAACTTGTTTTTAGATATTAAAAGCATAAATGAGAAAGTAAAATTACTAAGAATTTCAACACTCAGAAATAATCACTTGAACATATTGGTATATACTCTTCCTCCTTTTTTTCCTGTGTATAGCCCTTTTCTTCTCCCACCCACTATGTATTTTTAAACAGCAGTGACAATTTAGGGTTGCCAGTGTCTAACACTATGAAGTACTAATATTGACAATAATGAATTTCTATGAACTAAGTGAGTGAAAACATTTCTGAGCCATTCTTCCCCTCATTCCTGACCTAGAAGGAGGAAAGGAATGGCCTTGAATAGTGGGATATGTGCAAAGAGCTTTCCTTGTCACGTTGTCCCTCATCATTCTCTGGCTGGAATCAACTCCTCATTAGCCACACCTGATGCCTGGTGGGTGGTCCTGTGAGCGACATGAGTCCAGAGCAGGCTTCTGGGTATCTTCTGAGACATATTCTCCTTCCTGTCACCTCTAACACCAAGGTAGAGCTTTATTTTCCATGCTTTGTATTCTTCAAGACTTCCCTGAACAAACTATTTTATCCTAACTTTCCACACCATCTCTAAGTACCAGTTCTGCTTTTTCTAAACTTCTCAAATTTATGTAATTTTACATAATGCATTCAGTTTATATGAGCTGGAACTAAATTCCTAATTAAGGGAGAAAATATATGTAGATATTTAAAATATATATATGACTAAATTTAAGGATATTTTGAGGTATTTTACTCTCGTACCTTCTTAGACATTAGAAGTTTTCTTTAGAGAGTTGGGAAGAAAGCGACTCCATTCACTATTCCAATAGTATTGCACTGTATGATGCTAACCACTTTGCTCTGAAAAGCTTAAAATGTTTTCACAAATATTTCCTGCTTAATCATTGCATATTCTTTTAATCTAGTTTGAACATTATTCAGGAATAATTTTTCCGTGCGAACAGGATTTTCAGTTGAATTTAGTTAGGTTGTTGTGTTGTTTTCTTTTCATTATTTATGATGGGATTATTCCTTCCCTGTCTTGAAGATTTGGGTTCACATTTTTAATTGCTATAACGAACAGTAGCATGACTATTTCAAGCTTATTGAGACAGGCATAATATAATATAGAAAGGAGAAACATAAAAATCTACAGGCAACTCATGAAAAAACTCACGCAGGCAAAAAACGGAGCTTTGGCTCTCACTCTGATCTATTAAAATTCCTAGTCCCTGGAAATGTAATCTGTATTATACTAGTTCCATGAATTGTCCTTGAAAAACAAAAAAGGAAACAAGAATAACTTTGTTGAACGCATGAGCACACACAAAACTGTGCTGTTTCTTTGTTATTTTATGTCTATGATTGTGAGTATGTTATTTGCACATAGATCTTTAGCATACAATATTTAACTCCATTGGTTTTTAGCACATACTATGTATCTACTTCTTTGCAGTAGAGGAACATAAAACTACCACGTGATTTGTGCCATCCATTGTTTCAACCAGGTTTCCATTGGCTGATATAGAAAACATAGATTTAAAAATATATATTTTTTTTGAATGAAGTATAAGCTAAGAGATTTTGATTTGGACCACAGGCGAGGTGGAGACAGGGTAATGGCTAATTTATGAGAACAAAAGTGACAACCTGATAGGAAAAAAATAGAGAAAGAGAACATGGTGACATGCAAAGTGGAATAAACAAATACAATTAATAGATTTTTCTCATTTATTTTCCATTAGAACTTTGTGGGTCTGGGTGGTAGACTGCAAAATAATCAATGGGCCCAAATGCACAGCTATAGATGATCCATAAGGCAGACTTAGGGAGGGTTAGGTGGGTCCAGGAGAGAGGGGACAGAGCCTGAAGCACTGGCGCAGGGAGCACGCCAGGAGGCCAGCGATGGCCAAAGCCATTGGCTGTGCAGCCTCAGTGAAGGAATCATCATCAGGCATACCCAGCTTGAGATGTAGCCTGCAAGGGGTTTTCAGCTTCCATATGACATTTATTCATGGAGTAATTGTAATCTCTTCTATTATAGTAGGCAAGAATGCGAAATCAAAGCCTTGCCTGCTATTTCAGAAATTCTCAGCGGTGCTGGGCAACGGGGTATTGGCTGTGGGAGAGGAGGTTGAGGTAGAATGAAGAGAGATTTTAGCAAAATTCATATTCCATGACTTTACGTAGGGGTTATACACATAACACGTGTGAATAGCAATGAGATGATGACAGTGGCTTGAATGCTACCACTTTCTCTTAATGTGTCCATGTTAGACATTGATAAAAGATCACAAAACTTTTTTGTTGAGCCAGATCACAGCCTCAGAATCTTGTCAACACAGCAGGCCAGGAAGCCATCAGGATTAAACATACCTGCTGTAGCTGGCATAGCACGTTCACACGTTCATTCAATAAACATTTACTACCATCTTCTGTTTGGTGCTGGAGATACAAAGATGAGGTTGAGGGAGACACAGACCCTGGCCCAGTGGGAGGGGAGCAGCGGAGACCAGCAAGGCAGTGATTTCCACAGTGTGATGCGTTGCTATGGAAGCACATTCAATACATTCTAATGGACATGGGAACTCCTGGTGTCATATACCTTTATAATTTATCTTTGAATTTAATGGCCCATGCTAGAATCTGTCCCTTCTAGGAAAGGCTAAGCCTACTGATAATAGTTTTCTCTTAATTCTGTATAAACAAACCTATATTAAGTCTTTCCTGATAAGGGCCATGCAAATAATACAAGCCAGTAAACACCTCAACAGAGTTTTTGACAATTAGTAAATAAGGGCAATTATAGTTAGACTAGCTTGCATGTATCCTTTCACTTATTCATTCAATAAATATTATGGAGTCCTTTGCTGTGTGTATAGTATCTAACTCGATTATAATGCAAGGGATCAAACAGGCAAAAATGAACAAAATTCCCCGTGCTTCAGGGATGTACATTATAATAGGGGAATTCAGACACTAAGAAAGTAAAATTTACTGTTTATTAGGGGATGAGAAGAATTAAGAGCTTCTGTCTTATCATAAGTACAATACACATATGCATTAAAAATTCTAAAAGATAACA